TCAACGCTAATGCAAGAGAATGAGTTCCTAGATGAAGAATCACAAGTCATCGAGGAAGACACTTGAGTACTATATTTTGATGGTGCGTCCAATTAAAAGGGATGTGGTGTATGAGTCTTGTTAGTATCACCTAATGAAGAGCACATTCCAATCTCAATAAAGCTTGACTTCGATGTTACCAACAATGCCGCAGAATATGAAGCATGTGTGGTAGGTCTCAAAACAGCATTAGCACTTGGAGTTAAAAAGCTTCGAATATTTGGGGACTCATCTCTTATCATCAACCAGATTTCCAAGAGATGAAAGGTGAGGAGTGAAAGTCTAGCTCAGTACTAGACTTACTTAAAAACTCTCATAGATTCACTCGAAAGGTAGAATACACGTACCTACCAAGAGAAAAAAAATCAATTCGCCGATGCCTTAGCAAGACTAGCCTCAATGGTTAGGATTCCTAAGGAAGTTGAGCAAATGCATGTAACCATAGAGAAAAGGCATGAACCCGCCTATGTTCAAGCTCTTGAGGACGAAGAAGAAGTCCAAGATGACGAAGAAGAACCATGGTACACGAACATCCTCAACTATGTCACCAAAGGGGAATATCCACGGATGCTGACAAAAGAGCGAAACGCGCATTGAGGCTCTTAGCCTCACAGTTCGTACTTATAAATGGTGAAATTCATAAAAGAGTACCTAAAGGAAGTGCTCTCTTTATGTGTTAGGCAAAAAGGAGCTCAAAAGGCAATGAGAATTATCCACGAAGGAGCATCTGGAACACACATGAATGTTAAAATGCTGGTCCATAAGGTCATGCGCCAAGGCTATTATTGGACTACCATGGAAAGAGATCGCCATCAATATGTAAAAAGGTGTGCAAAATGCTAGATATATATGCCAATTTGCAACACGTTCCACCTTCTCTTCTTAACACTTACACATCTTCATGGTCATTATCAACTTGGGGAATAGATATCATTGAAAAGTTTACCCCACTCGGATTAGGAGGCCATGAGTACATACTCGTTGCCATCGATTATTTCACCAAATGGTTGAAGCAGCATCCTACGCAAAACTCACTGCAAAGCATGTGCACTCTTCATCGAAAGAAACATCATATGTCGATATAGACTCCCACATGAAATGATAAGTGACAATGATACTCACTTTCAAGCGATGTGTGAAGACCTACTTAAAAAGTATGGTATTCAACATCATCACTCTTCTCCATATAGACTTCAAGCAAATGGTGCAGTAGAAGCGACAAATAAGAATTTAAAGACAATCATCGAAAACATGATGGAGAATTACAAAGATTGGCCTACAAACTCCATTTTCTCTTTGGGGTTATCGCACGTTAATTCGCTCATCCACAGGAACTATGTCGTTTTCTCTAGTCTATGGAATGGACGTCGTACAACATGTAGAGTTAGAAATACCTTCCTTGCGCATAGCATTGGAAAGTAAACTTCATGAGGTTGAATGGACTAGAGCACGATACGAAAAGCTAACTCTACTCGATGAAAAGCGACTAGAAGCCTTACATCATGTCTAATGCTACATGTATGGTCCAGATATGGTTTCAACTATGTATGGTCCAGACCAATTAGGCCTAAACTTGC